ATCTATTCCTCCCAGGCTCCCCCCTCCCTACTCCACTATGAGTCAGTCACCTTATATCAGAGAAAACATTCAGCATTTGTTTTGGGGGGGATTGACAGGGACACAACCACATCAATGTTTATAGCAGCACAATTCACAATAGCTAAAATGTGGAACCAACCTAGATGCCCGTTAGTAGATGAATGGATAAAAAAATGTGGCATATATACAAAATGGAATATTACTCAGCAATAAGAGAGAATAAAATCATGGCATTTGCAGATAAATGGATGGAGTTGGAGAAGATAATGCTAAGTAGAATCTATATACATTTATTGCAGAGAGAAATAAAATAAGGCTTGGGATCACTACTTTTGTTTGTCCAAATAAGAAAAAATTAAAAATGCTATTAGATTGAGACTTTGCTTTATAAATTCACCCAAATATGTTGGTCTTGGGTTGGGGATGTGGCTCAAGCGGTAGCGCGCTTGCCTAGCATGCCTGCGGCCCGGGTTCGATCCTCAGCACCACATACAAAGATGTGTCCGCCGAAAACTAAAAAATAAATATTAAAATTCTCTCTCTCTCTCTCTCTCTCTCTCTCTCTCTCTCTCTCTCTCTAAAAAAAACAAATATGTTGGTCTTTTAAAGGTTTGTTTATCATACACTGTGACCATATATGTATAAATTATTTGTAAAACAAAATTGTTTCTGTGGATTCCCAAGCTTTAAAGACTTTTATGTATGTATGGAAATCCATTTTCCTAAGACTTTTTTACCATATACAGCAGCACTTTGGTTTGCCAGTAGCAGAAAGGCAGAAGAACAGAGTGACAATCCAAACATCCATTCTCATTTTCTCATCTGCAACACCAAGTTGAAGGCAGAAGACACTGTACTTGTTCATTTGCTTTTTTATTTAATCATCTATGAAACACTCTGCAAGGCAAATGGGAGGCCCTTGTCCTTCCATAGCTCAGTCCTCTATAATCTATTTTGTGGTATGTTGAAACTTTAATTTTGTCTTTCTGTGCATGGTGTAAGTATATTTCTGGTCTTGATATCCAAAGAGAGGCTCAAGCTGTAGTAAGCCAAAAACTTTTGGGCAGGATGTCAGGGGAAGGAAGGGGCTGCTGTTAGAAACTTGAGGCATGCATAGACACAACCAAACCTTGCCCCCTGCTGTATTCATTTTATATTGCATCTGTAACAAGTTTACCCAAAACTTAAAAGCTTAAAATGACAAAAATTTATTATCTTACAGTTCTAGAGATTGGGCATAATAAAATCAAGGTGTTCCTTCGGGGATACTCAGAGGATAATCCATTTTCTTACCTTTCCAGCTTCTAGAAGCTAGCTTCATTCTTAGGATTTTTGGCTCGGTCCTCCATCTTTAAAACTGGAAGTATAATATCACAGCATCTGCTTTCTCCACCCTAGCCTTTCACTCCTTTTTTTGTCACATCTTCTCTAAAACTCCTGTTTCCTTTTTATAAGAGGCATTGCAATTTCATATAGCATATTTGCTTAACCCAGTATAATCTTCCCATCTTCAGATTCCTATATTAATCATATCTGCAAATTCTCAGGTGAAGGATTAGAACATGGATATCTTCCAGGACAGTTTATGATACAAGGTAAATCTAGCTTTTTTTTTTTTTTTTTTTTTTTTGGTGCTGGGGATTGAACCCAGGGCCTTGTGCTTGCAAGGCAAGCACTCTACCAACTGAGCTATATCCCCAGCCTGATACAAGGTAAATCTAGTAAACAAAATAAAGTTTACCTGTTTTAAACCTTGAATCAATTAGGTACATGTTGCACGTGTTGCATTCTACAAGTTTTTTTTCTACTTTAAGGTCGTTTGGATCTTCCATTTTAACTGTTTTTTCCTCATAAATCGATGCTGGGTGTTCTCCCACTGATATATATCTGGAGCCTTGTAATTTTTGAAGATACTATAACAGGCTATTGTCATCAGTAATATCGTCTTGCTTTATTCCTGTTCCCTTTCCCATTTCCAGGAGACTACGTTTACTCTGCACTCTGGAGCATCTTGACTTCAAGATAAGAACAGGCCAGGCACTAGGAGTTACTCATCTGTAGTCAGCTTCAAAACATCAGACTGACAGACTCAAGCTCCTGTGAAACGCTGATTTATGCATGTTGCCTCTGACCCTCTTATAAATATTCTCCATTTCTCCAAAGACTTGGAACCTCTTTGGGGAAATGTGTTGGTCAGCTTTTTTGCCACTGTGACTAAAAGACCTGACTAGAACAATATTAGAAGAGGAAAAATTTATTTGAGGGCTCATGGTTTCAGAGGTCTCAATTCATAGACAGTTGATTCCATTCCTTGGGGTTCAAGGTATGGTGGAGGGAAATGGCTCATATGATGATCAGAAAGGGGAGAGGAGAGAGAGAGAGAGAGAGAGAGAGAGAGAGAGAGAGAGAGAGAGAGAGAGAGAGACTTCACTTGCCAGATACAAATATACATCCCAAAGTCACACCCCCAATGTCCCACTCCTCCAGCCACATCCCAGCCTTCAGTTACCACTCAATCCCATCAGGTGATTAATTCACTGACTGGGTTAAGGCTCTGATAATCCAATCATTTCTTCTCTGAACATTCTTCCATTGTCTCACATGTGAGCTTTCGAGGGAAACCTCACATCCAAACCATAACAGGAAATTAAAACATCTTCCTCTTTCCAGGTTGCTAACATCTTCAACAAACCTATACTTTCTCTGTCCCCAACAATTGTCTCTCCAGCACTGGTTTTCCTTGGGGAAGCTTCTGAATATGTGTTCAGTAACAATAAATCAACAAACTAAATTAACCAGAGACACTAGCATTCCTCTCAAAAAAGCTAATTGCTATGGATATGTACTTTGTTAGAGCCAAACTTTCATACCTCACAGAACTAAACACATTAATAAATTAATAGCTTATGGGATGGAAAAAACTATCAACTCCTCTTTCCCCCAGTGATAGGATATGGAGCAAGATTTAGCAAATTGATCCTGATTTTATTCCTCCTGATATTAGCATCTTGAATTCTTTAAAAATTTTTTATTGTTGTTATTTGTTTTTTTAGACATATGTATACATTTTAGACATAATGTATACATGGAGTATCACTTATTCTAATTAGGACCCTATTCTTGTGATTGTACATAATGTGGAGTTACCCTAGTCAGGTATTTATATACAAGGATAGGAAAGTTATGTCTGATTAATTCTACTATCTTTCCTATTCCCCTCCTCACTCCCTTCCCTTAATTCCCCTCTGATCTAATGGATTTCTATTTTTTCCCTCCCCACCCTCCCTTGTTGTGAGTTAGCATCCACATATCAGAGAGAATATTTGGCCTTTGGGATTAGTTTATTTCACTTCGCATGATATTCTCCAGTTGCATCCATTTACTAGCAAATGCCATAATTTCATCCTTCTCTATGGCTGAGTTATATTCTATTGTGTATATATATCACATTTTCTTTATTCATTCATCTGTTGAAGGGTACCTACGATGGCTCCATAGATTGGCTATTGTGAATTTAGCTGCTATAAACCTTGATGTGGCTGTATCACTGTAGAAAGCTGATTTTAAGTTTTTTGGGTAAATACCAAATAGTGGGTTAACTGGATCAAATGGTGGTTCCATTACAAGTTTTCTGAAGAATCTCCTTATTGCTTTCCACAGTGGTTTTACCAATTTACAATCCCATCAGCAATGTATGAGTATACCTTTTCCCCCATATCCTTGCCAACATTTACCCTTACTTGTATTCTTGGTAATTGCCGTTCTGACTGGAGTAAGATGGAATCTCTGCATAGTTTTAATTTGCATTTCTCTAATTGCTAGAGATGTTGAACATTTTTTTCATAGTTTTTTTGGCCATTTGTATTTCCTCTTCCACGAAGTGCTTGTTCAGTTTCTTTGCCCATTTATTAAGTTTTTTTTTTTTCTTTGTACATCCTGGGATGGATGCTCTGAGGTGCAGATGGTAAAGATTTTCTCCCATTCCTCAGGCTCTCTGTTCACATTATTGTTTCCTTTGCTGTGAAGAAGTTTTTAGCTTTATAGCATCCCATTTATTGATTCTTGGTTTCACTTCTTGCTTTAGGCTCCTGAGGAAGCGCATTCCTAAGTTGACTTGAAGGAGTGTTGAGCCTACTTTTCCTTGGAATCTGGTCTAATGCCAAGGTCCTTGATCCACTTGGAGTTGAATTTTGCAACTCAACTCTTTTTAAAAWTTTTTTTTTAGTTGTCAATGGACGTTTATTTTATTTATTTATATACGGTGCTGAGCATCAAACCCAGTGCCTTACACATGGTAGGCAAACGCTCTACTGTGCTTTGACCCCAGCCCACAGCACCAACTCTTAATTGATGCGGTTTATAGATTGAGTACCATCGACAAATATATGCATCACTTTAGGGGTAAAAACCTGAGAAACTTTCTTCCAGTAATGTTAAAGGCTAGAATTCATATTTTTTGTCATTTGTATTTAAGAAAAGGAAGCTATTTCGCCATTCATGTTAGTTAAAAATAAAGACACCGGCCATATTACTTCTAGCCATATGGGCTAATAGGAAATAGATTCACTTTCCTACCTAAAAAAAAAAAAAAAAAAAAAAAAAAAAAAAAAAAAAAAAAAAAAAAAAAAAAAAAAAAAAACCTGAAAAATCAGGAAAACATTTGTTGTCTTCAGACACTGGACAGCAGATAGGGTAAGCACCATGATCCCCTATAACTGCCCCAGCTAACTTTCCGGGGCCGTTTCCAGATGCATTGCAAGGAGAGTGATCACAGCCTTCGGTCTCTGACACACTTATTTACATAAACAAAACTGCAGTTCCAACTGGTTAAATTGACAGAAACCTTAAGCAAAAATATACCCCAGCTAGCCGGAAGCGGCAGAACCAATCGGGACACCCGCCAGTTCTCGCGATATAGCGAGATCTGCATCCCTGACGTCACCACCCCGGAGACGCTGGCGGTACCGAGGGTGGGTGGGGCAAGCGGCGAGTGTCTGAAGGCGGCTTCTGTGAGGAAAACAGACTTTACTGTGCTGTTGATCTGTTACCAACATGAGCGGCCTGCCTGGGGTCGAGAAGACCCTTCTCCCCCAGACCCGCAGCCTCACTATCCCTGACCCTGCCAAGGAAGATCCCGACCAGTGCCTGACGCTCCGCGGAGAATCGGAGGCGGCTCCGGCGATGGCGGAGACAAGTGAGGCAAGCGTGGAAACGGTCGCGCGCCCATCGCCCCAGCTTTCAGAGGACGGGGATGTACCCTGGGATCCCGCGGACGCGGACGGTGCCCCGGCTCCCCAGATCCGAGTCGCTGGTTGTCGCGGTCACCTGGCGACCGGAGCCCAGCAAGGGGAGGCTCCTCCTCTCACGGAGGGCCTGGAAGCTGCCTCTGAGTTGGTGGCCACCGTTAGCCGTCCGAAAAGTGATTTTCAGGGTGAGGAGAAGGCCCTGGAAACCTGTGGTGCGAAGAGGTCGGGGTCTGAGGTGATGGTGGAGGCGAAGGTTCTGGAAGCCAAGGCTGAAAAGGGCTCCATGCCCTCAGTAGCAGTGGGAGCGGAGGAGAGGGCTGAGGTGAAGGAAGGAGTGGTGGAGGAGGCGATGGAGGTGGAACAGCTCGCAGGTGGAGAAGTGGAAGCCCTGGAGGAGAGGAGAGTGGTGGAAGAAGCTGAGGAGGCAGGACCCTGGCATATGGATCTCCGCATGAACCCCCTGGAGGCCATCCAGATGGAACTGGACACTGTGAATGCTCAGGCTGACAGGGCCTTCCAACAACTGGAGCAGAAATTTGGGCGAATGCGTCGACACTACCTAGAGCGGAGGAACTACATCATTCAGAATATCCCGGGCTTCTGGATGACTGCCTTTCGGAACCACCCCCAGTTGTCCGCCATGATTAGAGGCCAAGATGCAGAGATGTTAAGGTACGTAACCAATTTGGAGGTGAAAGAACTCAGACACCCTAAAACTGGCTGCAAGTTCAAGTTCTTCTTTCGAAGAAACCCCTACTTTAGAAACAAGCTGATTGTCAAGGAATATGAAGTCAGATCCTCCGGCCGAGTGGTGTCTCTTTCCACTCCAATCATATGGCGCAGGGGACGTGAACCCCAGTCCTTCATTCGCAGAAACCAAGACCTCATTTGCAGCTTTTTTACTTGGTTTTCAGACCACAGCCTTCCAGAGTCTGACAGAATTGCCGAGATTATCAAAGAAGAACTGTGGCCAAATCCACTGCAGTACTACCTTTTGCGTGAAGGAGTCCGTAGAGCCAGACGTCGCCCAATAAGGGAGCCAGTGGAGATCCCCAGGCCCTTTGGGTTCCAGTCTGGTTAACCTCTGTCCTTGGGAACACTGCTGCATAGGTTTCCCGCACCTCCTCCTGTGCTTGGGCAAGATCAGTGGGTGTGCTTTTTTTGTTGTTGTTTTTTTCTGAACTTTCCGTACCCTTTCTTCTTTCTTGATATTTAGTTCTTTCAATATCAAGATTGAGAAGACTGTCATGGACCTTTTCTCCACTTCCACGTGGCCTCCATGCTATTCTGTATTATCACATTGCATGGCTACTAACACTTCTAAGCCAAGCTGTAGGATTGCACTACCTTTACATTGCTTAGACTTTTCCCCAGAACTTCTGATCTGGTTACTACCACTTGGATTTCTAGTTTTGTCTGGGAACACATTCTACTCACCCTGCTCTCCTTCCAGCAGTAATAGGCACATGATCTGTGGACAATTACTGGGCATTAATGATGTGAAGGGAGAGCAAGAGTGGACCACTTGTTCTGTGTGATTTATACTTCTCTATTGCTTTTCCTGCATCCTGGGTTACCTTTTAGTGTTGCCTGCTATTGGCTATGCCCACCCTCCTTGGTTTTTGCTAAGGCTCCTCTCTCCCACTTTCTCCCTTTTTCTCTTAGTTATTGAAGAAAAAATAATTCAGAAACAGTGGCAAAAGTAAACTTTTTAGTTTATTTTGCATATTATAATTTCCAGAGATAGAGAGGTTGCCCCGTAAAGTAGAATATTAGAGCTTTGATCACCCTTCTGCTCTCTTCCCAATAACCAGCCCCTTTGGCAAGCCCTAGAGAGCTTAAGGGAGAAAGCACTAGATGGAAAGAAAATGGGAGTTACTTTATAAAGGKAGAACTAAAGAGATTGTGAAGGGTGCTTTAAGCAATGGAAACTAAAACTCTATAGAGGCATAAATGAGCCAGGTAAAAATTTGGGTGAGACTGAACTGATTTGAGAGCCTGAGTCTTACTTTGTCAATGGTGATGGCAAGAGAAATATTTTCTCAGGATTGGGATTAAAAAATATCCCAGGAGTTTAGAGTGTTACATATGTTGTCTAGATAAGAGTTCTTGAAAGGAACAGTGAAAATTTGGAAGCTTTCTGTTTTTATGTGATCAGATGTATTTGGAAGATCAATATTGTGTCCYTATTTCACTACAATTTAGTAAAATCTTGTTATTTTCTGTTTGTTTATTAGAAAAGTTGAGCTGTTACAGGCTTTCTTTTGCTTAATTTGATAATATTTGGAAGAATAACAGTCTTAATTTTCTGTAAAGTATTGACTGTTTACAAGTTTTCAACTTTTTTTTCCCCTTCTATTACTGTACCTTTAGAAACATAGTTTGGGTAACTTGTCTTTGTCAGACTTGTCAAATTATTGCCTTCCTGGAAAATAATCTACAAAAAATGTGTGGCTTGATAAATTGTTTTGATAATGTGCTCTGCTAACAACTTCGTAATTGATGTGTCTCTTCCCAAATTGCATAAATAACTTGTGAGATTACTCTGTCAAATTAAAGGTGTACCATTGGCATATTCGTTTTCTTTTATATGCATGATGGTAAAATAAAAGCATGCCACTCTGGTAGATTTCTTATTTTTTTAACCCTGCACATGAACATGCTTGAATGAAATTGTTCAAGCTAATGACATACTATGAAATTATTAAAATTCTTAAATGAACACAGTAGGCATTATCCCAAAGGTAAGAAAACAGAGCACTTTCAGGTAGGGAGTAATGGTTGCTGCCATTTTTTTCCCCCTTGAAATGTTTACAATTGCAACTGCTTACTCAAGATGTCAGGTTTTTTTTTTTTTCTTTTTATTTGTTTTCTTTTAATAAAGCTTGTGTAGCACCGTCTCCCTTTCACTTCCTCAGATTTTCCATTTCTGGCCTCATACATGATATGCTCAGGACATTTAGACTGTTCCTTGTATTCATTTGTGAATTTAATAAGCAAACATTCAGAGAGTCCCTATTATATGTGCTACACAAATTCTATTCCCATACTTCCTCATCTGTGCAAAACGTATTGATTTTTCAAACTTTCTTACCACCTTCTTCTGTGTGTCAAATACTTTAAGGTCTGTCCTGGTAATTCCCCTGCACTATACTCTTTCTGTTATCAGCTGGGAGATAAAATGCTTCATTTTAAAAAAATTATTTACTGTACTTCGTAGGAACCTGTATTTTAGAAAATAACATAATTATTCATTATAGTGAATTCCACACATTTTTATTAAAACATTCTGTTAGTGCCTGGAAGAGAAAAAGAATAAGCAGATAAATTCCATTCCTTTCATTGCTATAGAATTGGGGAAGTACTGATATGCAGATAAATGATAGAGAGTGATATAGTATAATAAAGAGACAAATACTTTTTTTTCACTTTTATCATCTCTTACTAGTTTAGAAACCTTGTGAAAATAGTCTTTTACATCTTTCACTACATCTAGCATTAATGTTTTACATATAGTTGTCAACAGATAAAATACTGAATGTCAGAGTGAAAAATTTAGATGGGGAAAAAAGAGCAAAATAACCTGGTGCCCAGAAAGCTTAATGMAGTAATGAAGTTTTTGTGCCTTGCCTTGGGTAAGAACAATGTCAAAAAGATTTGCAGTGACTTGTAAATAACAATTTCTCAGTGATTAGAAAAGGCCCATTTTAACCTTTAATCTTTCACCCACCATTTTATTATAACATTACTTAATTTTGGATAACCTTTATGTAATTTGTACATTTTAAAGTAACTATAGAATTTTAGAACCTAGACATGATGCCTATACCTTTAACCTCCAGTGGCTTTTGAGCATTTGGAATGTGGCTGRTCTAAAATGAGATCTGCTACAAATATACAACTTGGGTTTTCAAGACAATATAGGATGAAAATTTTTTTTCATATTGATTGCATATTGAAATAATATTTTTGATGTTGGATTAAATGTATTAATRAAATTAGTTTTTCCATTACATAGGACAACATGACTATATTTCTTAAGTGAATATCTCAAAGCATGCAAAATATTTGTAAAATTTAAATGTGTTCACCAACAAGTAGAATTGTGTAGTATGCAATGGCATATCATTCAGGAATAAAAATGAACAACATGAGTAAGTCTCAAAAGCATGTTAAGTGAAAGATACCAAACAAAAGAGTAGTATATTTTATATGGACTTTAAAAAATGTACTTCTCAATTCTAGGCCAAAATTGGTCTAAAGATTCTTTTAACCTCCAAACTAAGAGGTGTGTAAATTTATGTTCCCTAAAATGAAGTCTGCTCAGGGCATACTCAAAGATAATCTGTACCACACTCCTGAGAATCTTTGAGCTTCCTTTTCTATTTTTGAACATTAAAATGCCTACAGGTTACCTTTGACTTCCTCAGTTCTAATATGCTCCTCTCCTKGGTAAAAGCAGGGAATCACAAAGGTGGTCTCAAGCCTAGCAACCTTAACACCATCTGAATTTGTTAGAAATGCAATCTTTAGACTCCCATTTCTGCCTAAAGAAACTGAGGTTGGGCCTTTCATCCAAGTTTAATCATGCTGCAGGTGATTCTGATATGCTAACATTTGGGAACTATTGCCCTAAACTCAAGCTGCTTCTGCTTTATCTCCATTTGATTCAGTTTCCTGAATTATGCTTTCATTACAAACAAATCAAGACATTTATGTCTACTATTAATCACAAATGATCAGACATTAGGACCTAATGATGTAGTTGAGAGGTGGAGCATGTACTTTGCATGGGTTGTGGGATCCCCAGCACCACAAAAAATAAGGGGTATCCTATTCTATGTGAAACAGGTATTGCTGTTGTTGTAATTATGACAATCCTTTTTTAAAAAATTGCTAGATACATCAAGAATTTTGATGTATACTCACATTTTATAATTACATAGTTTCTATATCATTGCTCAGCAAATAGAAATGTATTGCCCAAGATGTAAGTAAAGGGCTCAGGTAGGGGTTCTCATTTCAAGTTTAGACATCTTGCACCATCCTGCAGCAACCTGTAACAAAATTTGACATTTAAAAAATCTAAAATGGGGGCTGGGGATGTGGCTCAAGCGGTAATGCGCTCAGCACCACATAAAATAAAGATGTTGTGTCCAACGAAAACTGAAGGATAAACATTAAAAAAAAAATTCTCTCTCTAAAAAAAAAAAAAAAAAAAGTCTAAAACGGGCTGGGGTTGTGGCTCTGCGGTAGAGTGCTAGCTTAGCACATCAGAGGCCCTGATCCTCAACACCACATAAAAATAAACAAAACTATGAAAAAAAAAACTCTTTTAAGTATAAGTAACTTTTCCTTGGTTGTATTATTCCTAATCCATTCATGAATGGCTTTTAAGAGGAATACATTTATCTGTATAAAGATAATTGAGGGTCCCTAGATCCTATCAGATCATAAGTGTTTTCTATCTGTAAAATGTAATTGTTGCTATTTCTGCCTGAATTTAATTGAAAGAATGAACTACAGCAGTTCAAATATTTAAATTCTTGTAGAATTTGCTGAGATGTAAAGAATTGATACCATTAAGAAATGTAGATGATATATGTTTATTGAAGTTTATAACAAGCACTTAGAATTTAATTCTCATCCTCTTCACCAAAATCCACTTTCACATAGGACAATACAGTTCAGAGTTGTGTTAAGGCTCTATAAATAGGTGCATGGTAGCTTCAGTGCTGTTGTAATCAAACTTATGTAATGGCTAAACTTGAGTTTACCCTTCAGGCAGTTTTGGTAAATCTTCTAATTTTATCAGTACTGAGAGGGAAATGTAATAATTTCAAGATTGGCACTGGACTTAAATTTATGGGGCAAGAGTAGGCCTGTTTATGACCATGTGGTTCCCAGAAACAGTGTTTATATCAGATGGTTTTCTGGCTTATTTTACTTAGCATGACATAGTCTCCATTTCCATCCATGTACTGGCAAATGCCATTATTTCATTCTTCTTTATGGCTGAGTAATATGTCAAAATACACTCTACTGTCATGTATATCTAAAAAACACAAGTTAAAAAAAAACTGACAAGAACAACTTAAGAGAAGGAAAAAAGGAAATAGTGTTTATTATATGGAATCATATTCTGGTACTATTTTTCATGAATTGTTTTCTCAGGATTTTTTTTTTGAGAATTTTTTAATATTATTTAATTTTTGGTGGATACAACATCTTTATTTTTTAAAATTTTTATGTGGTGCTGAGGATCGAACCCAGCACCCTGCACATGCCAGGCGAGCGCACTACCGCTTGAGCCACATCCCCAGCCCGGATTTTTTTCTATTTATATTTAGATTTTTCTTCATTAAATGATAAGCTTTATGAGGGCAGAGACTGTCTTTTCTGTCTCATGTTTTTAGCCTGATAGACGTTTAATTGAAATGTGGTTTCAGATAGTGGCTGTGTCCAAGTCTTGATCTAATATTGGTAAAGTGAATGTGTAATCCAATCTTATATGCAAAGATATTCAGGTCAGACAAACTTGATTTGAAATATACATCCTCTGTCCCTCACTGTCAATATGACAAGCAAGTCTGCTTAAAATTAGATATTAAAAGCATAATTTTAAAGGTATTTTAATATGGTCTTTAATGTGATATTATGTGGAAGAATGTGGCAAGCACATAGTTCCAGCAATAAACTCTTTTCCCCCCAATCAACCCATAATACCATATGTCTAGATAAGTATAACACAGCAGATAAGAGTATTATTACTATGTCCTAAGGTTTCATGTCAGTTCATATTCTGATTGGTCCAGTTCAATTCTTCAACAAAGCTTTCACTTAATGATTCATTCTACATGGATGTTATTTCTGAACTTATATAAACATACAACTTCATAATAGAATTTGGCATTGATTTTATACTGCCTGCAAAGTAGTCTATTTAATGTAGGTAAGTTTTAGCAAAAAAAAATAATAAAAATGACGAAGTTGACTTCTTTTTATCACAAGTGTGATAAATACAGATAATTTCATTCCATCTTCATGATAGTTCTTTAAATTTTATTATATTCATTTTATATATGAGGGTATTATGGCTCTGAAAGGTGAAGTGACTAACCCAAACCAACCAGCTAGTAAGTAGCAGAACTGAGACCTGTAGCCCGATCTGAGTCCAAACTGTATGTTTAGGCAGCCTACAAAGTGCAAGGTCATTCAGGTGAGGGACCTGATGGTCTCTGGTTTCCTTTAAGATGTACAAAGCAGAGTCATATGAGGTTTGTTTTTCCTCTTCCAAAGTATTCTTGTAGGGAGCCATCTTTACAAACCTGTGAGAAAATTTTAATCTTGTAACAGTGATAGAATAAAGATTATGGTTCAATTTTGATTATAGAGTACCCAAATTTATGCTGAAAATCCATGCCTTTCAGTGCATT